ATGAGATTTGATTATAGTGGTGAAGGCTTCGTGCAGGGGCATCCACACTTTTTGAAGGGCCGAATACAGAGACCTGTTACACTACGTGCCACAGTTACCCTAACGACGCTCCGCAGGCTTTGAATTCAGAGTTGTCCTTCTCCTAGACCAATAGCCATCCAAGGCTATAGAACTCAGTCTGTCCTGCTATTTTACCCATAGCTGGAGGGAGAAGAAGAGGATTCATACCTTTCCCAAGGATATTAGAACGTAAGTGAATGTAATGGATTCGACTGGATTTCGAACACGGCTCTACGATTCCTCAATCCAAGCCGCTATCCATTACTCCACCGTGAAATATGGATCACTAAAGACGGCAGACAGGATAATCTGATTAAGCTTTTTATTTAACTTTTTGTGTTCGAACAAGGGTTTTTTTTGGGGGGGGGTTCTGGACACAAGATGAAGAAACTGTCCAAACGTTGTGTCCTTCTGAGCGCTTTTGGATGATTTTATTTTTGCTTTTAACTGTTTGTATGTGTTTAGCGCATGTTTCTATAGTTGTAAGGATTTTTTTCCAGACACAGTTACCATATTGTGGCCGTGTTCGTAGTAAATATCATTGCGTGTTGGCTTTTTCTTTTTCATTATTAAGCCTTCCATTATTTTTTTTTAATCTTTTTTACGTGTAGATGAGGTTATTATGTTTGTATTTTCTTCTAGTATGATTCGAATTTAGTCTGGTAAGTTTGTGTTTGTGTTTAAATGTATTCTAATGGAACCCATACACCCAGTTGAAAAGCAAAAATAAAATCATCCATGTGTCCAGAAAAGAAAATACTTGTTCGAACACAAGAAAAATTGAATCACAATTATCTTGCTTAATTGCAGTACCTTGTCAGTCTTCTGTAATGAAACATATATAAATGAAGGATTGCTGCCTAAATACACAATATATATATATATATATATATATATATATATATATAATGATCTCTCTATATATAAACATATATATATATATGTCTATAGAGAGAGAGATATCATTATATATATTTATATTATATATATCATTATATATATTTATATTATATATATATTATATTATTATATATATTATATATATATATATAATATAATATATATATATATATATATATATATATATATATATATATATATATATATGATCTCTCTCTCTCTATAAATATATATATATATATATATATATATATATATATATATATGTATTCATCATGATCTCGGGCTTTATCTACTTTCAAGGAATAATGGCGCTCCACTTGAGGCAGGGGCGTCAAATAGCGATAGCCTACATTGGTATGTAGGAGAGATCATCCTTAGTGAGTGAAAGCCCTAGTTTGTGTGGAAATGTCTGAATCCTTCAGCAAGATAACGCTGCAAACCATAGTGTCTGCAGTACAAAGGACATTTTCATGGCAAATAACGTGATTCGTTTGAATAAACCAGCGTGTTAACCGATCGGAATCCTATTTAAAATGTTTGGGTTTGGAGTTTTCTATAGAAATTGGCGCCAATTCCTGAAGCCATCTTCACCACTTGGAACAGCATTCCAGTCAGCCTACTGAAGATGCTTATATCGAGCATGCCAAAGCGAATATTTGAATAGCAGATATCATGGCCTGAAATTATCTCCAAGCATCTTGAAACAGTCAGTCGCCACTCAGTTTGGACCACTTATATATATATATATATATATATATATATATATGTGTGTGTGTGTGTGTGTGTGTGTGTGTGTGTGTGTGTGAAAAATATATAGAAAATAGGAAAGAACTTGTTAGGTAAATAATCCAAAGTTCTTTACTATTTTTAAAAAATAGTGCTCGATACAAAAGTAGAGCATAAAGATAATTACTTATTTAAACATATGATTCCAACACCCTACATAAGAGTTCTCATGTTTCACAACAAGAGCCGAAAACTTCAATATAATTATCTGAATTAATTTGAATTAAAGTACTTAAATAAAATCTCATAAATTTCAGAAATAAGTTATTCCCCAAAAATTCGCTTGAAGATAGAACAGAGCTTAGTACTTAGGTACTTAGGTTGCAGATAAGAATAATAAATTCTAATTTTATAGAGACGTTGGTGTAATCAAAATAATAAAGAAGAATAGACGCCAACAAACGGAAACGCAGTAAACGCAATATTATATGATTCAACCTACCCTTCAACAAAAACTTCGAAACGAACAACGGACATTTGTTTTCGAATTTAATCCATAAGCACTTCCGTCATTCCTCTACACTTAAGATCTTCAAGAAAAACAAGGTCAAAGTTAGCTACAGATGGGCTAAAAATATCGACCAGTATATAGCACAGCACAACTGGTCCATTCTAAACAAAACAAGCGCTTCAACAACCTTCAAAACAACTACATCACCGAAGCTAAGAATTGCAATTGCAGAAAAAACCCTGCCCATTAAACGGTAAATGTAACTCCAAATTGTTATTTTATAAAGCTGAAATCAAATAGGACGACAAGGTCAAGTTTTATGTGGGTTCGACGGAAAACCATCGGAAATCGCGCTTCTACCACCAGAAAATGACATCAGACAATCTCAAATATAGTAACAGCTTTTGCCTCTCTAAATTTTTCTACTACCCAGAAACAAATTTCTACTCAAACGTTGACCCAGATTAATATAATTAACGTGTTTATTTATTTACTTATCTATTCACATTTATTATTATTATTTAATTAATTATTTATTTGTCTTATTTATTTACATATTTATATGTTCTTATATACATGTATTTTTATTTCACTTTATTTCAACTTACTTTTATTTTATATTATTATACTTTCATTGATATGTATTATTTTATTTGTATTTTAATGTAATTTTATATTATCACGGTATATTTTATTATTACTGATATCAATACATTTAGTTAGTTCAGTAATAATACTTATATTAATATTATTAATTACTTTATTTATTTTCATATTAAAAGTAGAGTTGCCTAATTTGATTTTCTAACGTTTATTCTTTCTTTCTTTATTTATATATTTATTTAATTATTTACATATTTATATGTCCCTTATATATATATATATATATATATATATATATATATATATATATATGGTTTTTTTTATTTTACTATGTTTTATCTTATCTTATTTCATTTTTATTATTAATCTAATTTTATTTTATTTTAGCATGGCATATTTTATTATTATTGATATCACTACTTTTAGTTACTTCAGTAATATTAATATTTATAATAATAATATTATTAATAATATGGCTAATTAATTAGTGATTTTCATGGAAAAAATAGAGTTACCCCCTTGATTTTCTAACGTCTATTCTTGTTTATTATTTTCATCACAGTAGCGTCTCTCTAAATTAGAATTTATTATTCCTATTTCCAAGCTTATTTTCAATCTTAAATGTTAATCTGGGCCTAAATTCAAATTCAACATTAAACCACATTTTTTATATATATTTTAACAACCATAATATTTCAAGACAACAATAAATTACCTCGCGATGAATAGAAATAACACAAAATCGGTGTAAACCTAAAATTAAAATATAAATAAATACACTGGCACTTGATAATTTCTTATTTTGTTATTTAGTTATTTTGTATATTATATATATATATATATATATATATATATATATATATATATATATATATTTATATATATATATATATATATATATATATATATATATATATATATATATATATACATACACACACACACACACAGACAGACAGACACATATGTGTGTGTGTGTGTGTGTGTATTTTAATGCACCTTACTCAGCACACTGAAGATTACATTGTGAATGAAACCCACAGTCGTGCTATGGTTGAGGGATAATATGTATATTTATTAATATATAGTTAATATCACTGTTGTATTATATAGAGCACTGTCTTATTTACACCAGCACTATATGTGCGATACAATTTAAACGCACACAGACACACACACACAGACGCACACTGAGACACAGACACAGACACACACACACACACACACACACAGACATATATGCGCGTGTGTGTGAATTTGTTTGTATATCTTGAAGATTGAGAGCTGCTTTTTTAGGGCTGTCATAAAATAAAATGTATTACTTATGTGATTTCAAGTGTTTGATAATCTTTTATTAATTATAATTTTGCTTTTCCATACAGATTACGATACTATTACTATCTATCTATCTATCCATCTATCTATCTATCTATGTGTGTGTGTGTGTGTGCTCGTGTCTGTTTTGGGTGTGGGTGTACATATATATATATATATATATATATATATATATATATAGAGAGAGAGAGAGAGAGAGAGAGAGAGAGAGAGTTCATTTTTATTTCCCTATTTGATAAAACAAAATAATGTTCAACCATTTTTTTGAAAAAACAAATCGATTACAGAGTCATAGTTATGGTATAATGCATATTTACTTCTCTTATGTTGCGGATACAGATGGATATATATATTTGAAGTAATTTCCTTTAGGGATCTTTTGTAGAAGAGAATACAATTATGATTTTTTTTTTTTTAGATTTTAAAATTTATTGCGAAAATCCTTTATTTGAAATGAGTTATTTTCAATTGAACCGGCGTGTACGATTACAAATGTCGTCTTCTGATAATCCTCCTTTTTAGTTGTATGTACAAATCGGGATTCTGAGGTTCAATTATATTTTTTTCTGCAAACCTACAAACAAACGAGCGAAATCAATATTGTTTTTGCTGCTGGTTGTTGTTTTTGTTCCGTTCTCCGCATTGCACTTAAGTTTAAAAACAAAACAGGCCATTGCTCTTGGTACTTCGATTGATCAAATCACAAGCGACCCACCGCTGCGTCACTGAAAAAAAACTACCCAGCACTGATGGGAAGTTGCAGCTGAAGACTGAAAATTGATTGTGCATTAAAATATGGGCATTGCAAGAATGATTTACAAAAGATAACATGGATTTTATTCAACATCAGTGCGTGTAAAAT